TTTTAAAAGGTAAATGTTGATAACATGATGTTCTATGACATGGTTTTCATCTAAAGTAGTGTCCTGTAACTCTTGGTTGCACGATACAATTTTGTCAATAAAGCTAGTGCAACACTTTTTGTGTTACAAAGTAGCTACCAGTATCTTTACCCAATCAGCTGACATTGTTTAGTGTAACAAAAAAGAAGCAGGAGAGACATCCATTATTTGAGAGGGATTCGTTTCCATTTCAGAGCAATGAAAATAGAGATGAATGCCCTTTTTATACACTATTTGTTTTTAAAATGATTTTCTGGGATATAGCAAAAACTTTGAAATTCCACCTAAGTGTCTCTGTCTTTCTTTCTCTTATAGAGTCCCTGGTGTAACGATTGCTACAGATATCATCTGTGGTTTTCCCGGAGAGACCGAGGAAGACTTTCAAGCAACCATAGACTTAGTGAAAGCCTATCGATTCCCCAGTCTTTTCATCAACCAGTTTTACCCCCGACCCGGTACGCCTGCCGCCAGGTTGGAGCAAGTACCAGCACATGTGGTGAGTGCAGACACGGACAGAGTTTTGATCAGATGCTCAGAAACATGCCAGTTAAAGAAGCAAACTTTAGCTTATTGTTACTTAAAAATGTAAAAGCCTTTTCTATACTTGTGAAGATTTTGCACTATTTTAGTATCACTAATCCTGAGATGTATGGAGGAGTGACTGCGAGAGAACATAAATCAAGCTAATACGCTCCATAGACATTTATAGACATTATTTAGCTGAAAATCTTCTTAAATAAGAAATTGTCTGAAGCATTTTTCTCTCGACTTCCCAGGAGATCTACATGCTATTAGTAAATGTTGCCTAACGGTGGTAACAGTCTCATCTGAACACATTATTGTTCTTTGTATAACCACCCAACTTGCGACACATCGCTTCTCTAGCTTCCTACATCTCCCCATCTGCTGCCAAATAAAACAATTAACAGCTAATAAAATCTTAATTGTTTGCAAAGGTGTGTGAGTGAGGGAGGGAGTGAGAAGCAACGCAGACTGAGCATATCACACTCAGTCACACCAACGTTTTCTTGACCTTTTCGCTCATGGATTTCTCAGCTAGATTGCTGTTTGGCGCAACTAAATTCTTATATAATGAGCTAAAGCGTTCATATGTATTATATCAATGCTAAGTAATAATGTAGTTGAACTTTATGATCACACCGTTGATTATACACACTTTTTTCTTCATACTACACTTTAGCAATAGTACACCTTGTGATTTTTTTCCCTTAAGGAACTAAACTTAACACGCGATTATTTGCAGTTGTTTGTAAAAATCTTTACTCGTGGAAAATTATTTACTATTACTAAAATATGATCCTGTTTCTAAAGTTATTGGACAAAACGTGCAACAAAATGCAACAGCTCACATTACTGAAGTGCTGCCGTTGCACATGTGCTGCTTGTGTTTGTACTTCTACCTGAAATATTTTCTTTGACCTCCTTTTTCTTTAGTTTGACCTTTTACATATGCTGTACTCTATACCGTGTTGTCTTCTTTCTTGCGTTTATACTCCAATACTCAACATCAAAGTGTTGACACATCTCTTTCAAGTGGAGTGTCTTCATAAGTCATTCTCTTTTTCCCTTTTCTCGCCTTCCTCACTTTGCTCTCTGAGGAGAAGCCGGGTGCTTCCTAGAGGGATCAATCCCCAGACACAACCACACTGCAGCTTCTATTCTTCTTTATTTCCCTCTTCGTTCCTTCTCCTCTGACCTTTATTGTCTGTGTTTAGATCATAGCACAATCAGTCCAAGATTTCATTCAGCTTTTTGAGTTTAAAATGTGGCATGTAAGAAGACCTTTAATTGTCAAA